ACACACACACACACACACACACACACACACACACACACTGTCACTCTCAAATGGGAAACATGCATTTCTCTTTCTTTTATTAAGTTACATGTTGGAGGGCAGTGTACGTTGCGGTAAGAAGGTGTAGCTCTGACTTCCTCGTGACTTCTATATTTTTGGTAGATGACTCATGTATTTCCCTGGGGATTTTGCATCGTTCTGTGAGGTGTGGAGGCTTGTCGTTGGTGGGTGTGTGAGGCCAAAAAAATAGAGCCACATTAGCCAAAATACGACCTCTATCTGTGTAATGACGACGACAAAAACAACAACAACTCTCAAAAAGAGCATTTCGTGAGGTTCGAATGTTGTAGAACGCAAGCGTGCCGTTACTCGCTGTCTTGAACTTTTAAGCACCGTGCAACTCTGGCCAACAATTCACCTCGACGCACTTGTTTTTGGCAATTGTTCTTGAGTGCAGCGTCTGTAGCCTATAGCACATACTGTTGGTTCACAGTAACTCAGATGCATGCAACTAAATAAATATCTTAATATGTAGATATCGCATACCGTACACACACACACACACACACACACACACACACTCGTCACTACATAAACTGGCGTAAACGTCCCACGCCTGAGGATAATTACATTTACGCGTGTTCCAGTACTGTCCTGCACGTATACGTAAGCACGTTTTACAAATCATATGCCCTTAATCCTCCTCACGGCTACCGCCGGCGTCTGGCCGAGTAGTACAAAAGTTTACATTTAAAGAAAGGAAATGAAAAACTGAGGGTGCGAAGGCGTCACTGAATACAACTTTCCCCCCGCTTGTGTGCGCATTTACGCACAGTCCCACTCACCATCCGTTTAAGATATGAAGACCAACACGAGAGTAGATTCTAATGATCGATGATTTCCACCAGCCCCCCAGATGACACAATGTAGAAGTACTGACCTGTGTGCGTCCTCTTGTGAATCTTTAAATTCTCCGATCGCGCGAACACTTTCCCACAGCCCGGGAAAGGACACGGGAATGGCTTCTCCCCGGTGTGAACTCGGATGTGATTTATCAGTTTGTACTTCGCCTTGAAAGCCTTCCCTTCCCGCGGACATTCCTCCCAGAAGCAGACGTGGGAGCTCTGCTCCGGTCCCCCGACGTGCTCCACCGTGACGTGGTTGACCAGCTCGTGCATGGTGCTGTAAGTCTTCGAGCAGGGCTTCTTCTGACTCTGGTCCTGGTCGATCCACTTGCAGATCAGCTCCTGCTTGATGGGCTGCCGCATGTACCTCAAAAACGCCCCTGCCGCTCCGTGAGGAGCAGACGCGATGTTCACATTGAGGTTCATGGAGTTGTAGCTATGGAGGGAAGACGGTCCATAGTGCTCCGGCCTGTGGCCGAAGTGCTCCGGCCTGCCGTAGATGTCCCCCGGTATACCCAGGCGCATCTGCCCGTTGAGGGCATGGTGGTGGTGGTGGTGGGCACCTGGGGACGCCTGGTCGTGGAGTCCAGTGAAGAGGGAATGGGCCCCGCTCTCCGCGTGCCCGTAAGCACCTGTTGGGGAGATGAACATGCCATGGTGATGAGGGGAGGAGGCGGAACTATGCTGGTCGCCAAGTGCATGCATAGCAGAGGCTGAGAGTTCTCTCCTGAGGATGAAGTCCCTGCTGCTTGAGTAGCCTGAGTGGGGGTGAGCCACGGGGAAACCGACTGTGGTCTGGGCAGAAGTGAAGGACGCCGCGGTCTGGGCTTCGTGGTGGCTCTGAATGTGATGAGACGGGCTAAGTTTGAGAGCGTTTGTCTGTGCCATGTGCTCTGGTCCAAATGGAGTGAGTGCCACTCCGGGGTCGTTGCCCAGCTCCCCAGGGTGGAGGTGGGCATGGTGGGAGAGAGGGTGATGCCCCCCTAGCCCCGGGAAGCCTGTCATATTCTGATGAGGAAGGGGTTGAGTCGCTGCCAAATCCGCTAATCTTAACGCCGGATTCCTCTTGCTTAAAGGGGGCTCCATAACTACACTGACAAGTCCATCCGCGCTCACCGCGATTGTTTCTCACCCCGCCACGCTCTCTAAAACATTAGGAAAATATGTATATAAGGGGCTCTATAAGTTATTTTGTCCGGCTTCTAACTCTGCTTGCTCCCTTTTCCCACTCTGTCCTCAAGCGATTGGCAGAACATACAACAGTTGGAGGACACAGTGGGGAATACAGTTTAGAAATGGCACCGCGGGTATTGGACGGATTTTGGTGACTGGCAGTTAGGAGAACGAAGCGATTGGCTGTCGTTCAGCGCAGGGGCTCAGCAGGGTTCCGCCCCCTCACTCTCTTTATCGCTGTTGACTCCAAAAAGTTGTACTCACAAAGTTACCAGCAGATCTGTGTTGTTGTTTTTCTTTTTCTTCTCTTTTTTTTTTGCGCGGCTCTCTCCGTGTTTTACCGGCGCATGTGGATGACCGAGATGTCAGTTTTTATGTGACAAATGCAGCCCAGTTTATCTCTGGTAAAGTGTCTTTACTATTGATTCGATGTTGCCGTTGAAATAGAGAGAGAGAGGGGGAGAGAGAGAGAGAGAGAGAGTAAGAGAGAGAGAGAGAGAGAGAGAGAGAGAGAGAGAGAGAGAGAGAGCGCGTAAAAGAAGCCCGCTGCTGGTGGAGATATGTATGTGACCGGTGTATAGATGTGTAGAGAGGACAACGGTGAGGGCGCAAAGTATATTTATTAAGCGTTTGAATATTATTATTATTTTTAGTTATCGAGAAGGATTTAGAAAAAAGCTCCTAAGACTTCACATGATTTGTCAGGAAAACATAAATTACAAAACCGAACCTGTGGAAAGTTATTGCATGTCTAAATTATACAAACTATTTCACCGGAAAATAAAATACCGGAAAATGGTGATTGGATACAATAAATTAAATAAAATCACCAGAGAAATATTTGATACTTCTTTGCTATTTTTTATTGGGAACTATTGTTCATTTGAACCCTATTCCCCTTCTTGCAGTTATTATATGAATACCACAGCCCTCCCAATCTTCATAGAAATATTATTACTGCTGCACTTTAATTCAAATGAGTTTTAATATGAATTATGGGCAGTGTAGGCTGTCAACCCAAACACACTAAAATGCTGAAGTTAGGAAAAAACAATAAACATGTCTTACATTCTTATTAGTTCACGCACTTTTTCATAATGCCCCAATAAAAAAAGAATTTATCTTGGCTTAAATATATTACAAGTGCAGGCCGACCTCAGCGTGTGTTACACACCAAACAGTAAACTAAGACAGGAGTATCACAGCGTTATAGTATATAGTGTCGGTGAATGTCTTGGACCTGAAAAGGTGCCATGTATTTATTTTTTATTCTCAGCATTATTTACCAACCGTTTGTCATTTTGATTATAATTGAGGTTGGCAACACAAACGTGTGTTTAAGTTGCCCATCGGACGGATCACACCATTCGAATAGTCCCTGTTGACAGCAGGACGTGTATCTGTCATCGATACGTCTTCATTCAGACACCTTTCCAATCGATCTGTGGGAGCTCAAAACTACAAATCACCACGTCATCAGAGTTTGTGTAACTCCAACGGCAGCTGGCCTTAAATAAAAAGAAAGAAAGTAAAACTTCAAGTATATAATGAACACCACATTTCCCCACTCAGGACCATGTTCTATAATTGATTTCCACCGTGCTCGAGAGGGAAGGCTTTACACTGTTATGGGGCCTGTTGCACGCGCTCCATGTGGGAAAAGCTGATTTATGAACTTGATATTCAGCAGAAACAAATGCTTTGAATAGAAAGTGTGTGTCAACACTTTTTACAGCGGATACATAACGTGCTATAGTTCTGCAAAAATAAATACATAAATAATAATAATAACAACAATAAATATGTATTAATTAACAGTTAGATATGATTGGTCTCTGTATAGTTGGTTGTTCTGCCTGCTCCAGTTTATTGTTCATGAACAGCTGCTCATTTTTATTATCCACAATGACTGTCATATCTGTATTTTTTATGATTTAAAAGTCACCCAAAAAAATGAGCACGTGTTTTCGTGATTTAGTGAAATAAATAAAACATGCCCAGCTCCAATGAGAGCATCTGGAAACTCATAAAACACACGAGGAGCAGTGGGTGCACTGTTTATGATTTGTTTAAAGGGGGGGGGCCCTATTTCATACGCATTAAATGAAACACCACATTAAATGAGACCCATAATCCCACAGAATTAACAACAAGAATTATACTTTTGCTGCGAAGGCAGGGGGGGGGGGGGGGGGGGTCACCGTGGTCCCGTAACCGTGGCAATCTGTGAATGTCGTGCACGTGCACATTTAAAAAAAATAAAATTCCTGGTCACAATGTGTCGCCCGTTGCTGACACACATATATCATATTCTGCCTTGTCAAATGAGGGGAAATGGGTCTATGTAGCACCTCTTTAAAACGATCTAAAGAAACTGTTATCTGAACTTTCTGGAAGGAGCGGGTTCATTTTGATTGACTTATAGCTTCCTAGCTTCTATCTCCCGCTCCCTTTCTCTCTCTCTCTCTCTCTCTCTCTCTCTCTCTCTCTCTCTCTCTCTCCCTCCCTCTAAAACAAAGACTCTTTGTCATAAACAGGGTTATTTTACCAAATGGAGTCAAGAGTGCAACATATGTGGTTTTAACGGGTCATGGGTCAAACATCCATGAAACACAAGGTCACGGGAGCCACACAGTAACCTTCCAGTGTGTCAACATATTGATATTGTCATGATAGCAGAGAGGAGGAATACGCCTTTGGCCCCTCAACTATAACACACACACGCGCGCGCACACAGGCACGGCAGTGCGCCTTTATGTGATCGAGGCTGCTGACTTTATCGATTAGCTCTGCGTCATACTTAAAGCTGTAACTTCAGATCACAACCTATTTCCTGTAATTTCGCTTTAAAGAATCCGCGGAGCCTCGTCTCAGTGTTGCTGGTACTAGAACCTGTTGAAATACGGGTCTTAGGGGGTTTTCAATAGGCAGGACCCTCTTTCTTCTACAAGCAGAAGCAGCCATGTGCCTCTCTATACCCGCTAGATTTTTTTCTTTTCTCCTCCATTCTTTTTAATTTCGCTTTTCTCTCTATCTGGGGAAGGTTTTTTTTTCTCCAGAGAAATAAAGAGCTTCTTATAAGGGTCGGCAGACGTGACTTTGAACTTGGATCAGCTCCTGCGTTTCCTGTGGTGCGGGCTGAAATAGACTGGGAAGAATGGCACACACAACGCTCAGCCTGTCCCACTCCGAGCTAAGAGACGCACACAATTTCACCAAAAAAAAGTTTAAACGTTTCCCTCTCCTTCTCCATTACTTGCCTGCTTACAGGAGCACCGGAGGACTGAAGCAGGCAGAGGGAAAATATGTGTGTGTGTGTGTGTGTGTGTGTGTGGAACGGGACAACTTGTGGGATTTTTGAGTTGGTGAAAATGTAAGTAAACTTCCTTTGACTTGTGGGTGAATGAGCAGATGTGGTGCATGGCCTGTGTGTGTATATATCTCCATTTGCAGGCAGGATTCGGTGCATGCTTGTAATGGGAAGTTGCCAGTAAATGAAACAAATAATTTTTTATTTTAATGACTTTCCTGGGTCGGTTCTACATGTTTGTGCTAAAAAACCTCATCCAGAGCACCAACACATCTCATTCAATAACACTTACAACACTCCATCACATCCATCAAGGCTCGACCAGGTCACTAAATGGTTAACACGGATCCAAACGCAGCTCACACCACCCAGAACATGTCACTGAATGGCTGCGGTGGAACGTGAGAACCAGAACCAGCAACCTATGGAACCGTTGAAAACAAAAATAAGAAGAACCAAACAACAAGCATGGGCGGTTGGTTACGGTGCGAGCAGCGGAGCACCGCTAAAGGCCCAGTTGTGGTTCTACAGCAGTGGACTCCATATGGAGCCACATATGCTTTTTCAGCTGCGAGGAATCAGATGGAGAGAACTCCATCTTAACTTAACGAAAGGTCATTATAGCAGCCTTCGGACATGTATAGGTGGTGTGTTTTAATAGAGCTATTTATTATTACATGTTCTCGTGCTTTTTAAAAAAACAATAATAAAAAGTGGGAGTTGTTACAGCAGTACATTCAGCCCATTTCTACAAAGAAAAGGTGTGTTCTTGCATTTATGTTTTTTTTCTATTTGCCAAGGAGACTTAAAGCACCCCCCAGTATTTTAGAAGACATTGGGGGTCAATAAAATGATTTAATATTCCAACGTCATAGGATGCTTTATAGGAGTGAAGATGCCTGGAAATCAGTTTACACTTTTACTGGCGTGCGTGTAATAGTGCAATTGTAGATATCATGGTGGTTAATTGATATTTAATAACACGGCTCTATATGCTGATAGATGAGCGTGATTGTTTTTTAAATATTATTCAGAAATGTAAAATACACAGAGCTACAGCATTATATTTAGGCTTTAAAAAAATAAATGAAAAACAGTAACCAATTTCTTATTTAAACTAATTTAAACAAACAAAACATGTCCTCTCCTCTCTCTTGTCGTGATCCCTCCGGTTGTATATATCCCCCCTCTAAAAAAAAAAAATCCTCTCCTAAAAGTAGGCGGTAATTATTAGTGGAAAAAATGGCGTTGCGCTATTAAGTCGCCAGAGCGCTACCTGCTATTGGAGGGGCACCTGGGATTGATGAGGCGCGGCGGCCAATGAGACCGCGAGGAGCGAATGAACGGGCTCCAGTTTAAAGGGGGCGGAAGAGGAGGTAGAGTCAGTCCACGGAGAAACAGGGACCCTCCGCGATAAACGCAGACGAGCCCGGAGAAATAAATTCCATGCCCCCTCACGATCGGTACGGCGTTTTTACACTGAGATGTTCCAGCTATACTCTCGCTCTGTGCGCGCAGAGGACACCCAGTAAGATAATTATTTCATTCTTCGAGTGCATATTTTTGGGGGGGATTTTTTTTTCTTTGGGGGGGGTGGGTGGTTGTTGAACGCAGCCCAACTGTCGCAGTCAAGAGAAGAGGACACGGGGAAACTCCTCACTCCGTTTGGATTTTTTTTGAGGCACAACTTCACTAAGAAGTAGATCCGATAAGCCGAGCTGATTTCTTTTTTTTTCTTTCCCCTTCTCCTCGTGAGTGGAGCAGCAGTTGTTTAAATTTGATATGGTGTTTCCAAGGTTTGGAAGTTGAATCGTTGCTCACCAGCATTTGATTTTGTTCTTTAACTTATTGGCCGTACAGCCCTGATCTGATTCAAACAAACAAACAACAACAAAACCCCTGCTGCAATCATGTTACTGGATGCTGGTCACCAGTTCCCCGGACTGGGAGTGGGGTCGTTTGCCAGGCATCACTCGGCGAGCGAGATGCAGGAGAGAGACTTGAGTTTGGCACAGAACAGCTTCGTGGACTCCGCGCACATGGGCGCGTTTAAGCTCAACCACGACCTCTCTCCGGGACAGAGCTCTGCCTTCACCAGCCAGGCGCCGGGCTACCCCGCCGCGGCTCTGGGGGCTCATGCCGCCCATGTCACGTCGTACGCGAGCTCGCCTTTTAACTCCACCAGGGACTTTCTCTTTCGCAGCCGCGGCTTCGGAGAGTCCTCTCCGGCGAGCAGCCAGCATGCTATTTTTGGCCCCGCGACGGGGTCCCTGCATCACTCCCATACAGACTCTCAAGGCCACATTCTGTTCCCGGGGATCCACGACCAGCACGGGTCCCACGGCTCCCCGAACGTCCTCAACGGGCAAATGAGACTCGGACTACCCGGGGAGGTTTTCGGACGCTCCGAGCAGTACCACCAGGTCTCCAGCCCGAGGACCGACCCGTACTCAGCGGCGCAGCTGCACAACCAGTACGGCTCCATGAATATGAACATGGGGATGAACATGGCAGCCCACCACCACCCCGGTGCCTTCTTCCGCTACATGCGGCAGCAGTGCATCAAGCAGGAGCTCATCTGCAAGTGGATCGACCCCGAGCAGCTCAGCAACCCGAAGAAGAGCTGCAGCAAAACTTTCAGCACCATGCACGAGCTGGTCACGCACGTCTCGGTGGAGCACGTTGGTGGCCCGGAGCAGACCAACCACATCTGCTTCTGGGAGGACTGTGTCCGGGAGAGCAAGCCGTTCAAGGCGAAATACAAACTAGTGAACCACATTCGGGTGCACACCGGGGAGAAGCCGTTCCCGTGCCCGTTCCCCGGCTGCGGGAAGGTGTTCGCGCGGTCGGAAAACTTGAAGATACACAAGAGAACGCACACAGGTAAATATCACAAAACAATACGAGGGGCTTTATATTGTTGTTCTTCTTTTTATTATTTTTTTGTTTCGAGTAATACGGTTTGTTGCTACTAAGCCGGAGTGTGCGTTTATTTCGCTGTTGTAAACACGCGCCGTGCCAACGAAAACACGAATTAAGATCTAATTATCAGCGACTATTTCAGGCTGCTAAAGTCGATAGTATTCGTAGAAACGGACAGAGGAGATTTAGGAGCACGTCCAAGAGAACGAGAGCTAGAGAGGGGGGGACACATTAGTTTATAATAGCGGGGTATTGCACGGGCACATTTTACATTTTTAACATTTCTCCAAACGTGTAGAAAATAAACAGACAGGGCCTGCCGATGTTTTACAGTTTTGGGGGGGGGGTGGACTTTGCAAGAAAAAAAAAGAATTGGGTCAAAGGGGACAGTGGGAGCGCGTTGCGTGCAGACAGGCTGGTGGAGTAAATCACATCAATTGGTTTCCTTAGTGGAGCTTGTTCTCGTATAGCTCGCGTTCGATAGCCCATAACATCCAGAACGGGATTTGTCGGTAGTATAAATTATTTACACCGAACTCTTCTAATGGATTTAGTTTTTATTCAGCTGCGTGTTGTGGGGAGGTGTTTTTAAATGGTGAGGATCGCCTTTTGTGTTCGTATCCTGCGCCCTTCATAGATAAGATAAGAGCTAAACGTGCCAGACGGGAGGCCGTTACCGGCCCCGCTCATCACATTTTTTTCCTGGACTTATTTTTCTTGGGGGAAATACATTACGGTGTGGGCGCCATCGGTCAGGTGCTAATTAGATTTTTATTGTCTCCCAGGCAAATGGTTCGCCTTCTGTAGGGCCCACTGAGGACGGCCTTACCCCCCTCCCACACACACACCCCCCTCTCTCCAACCCCCTTCCAAATCACTATGCGCATTATTTATGAACCGCCCCCCCCCCCCTTTACTCCGACTCATCTCTGTTCTGAAAACAGCCTTAAACTTTGAATTTCGCACATGGGGGGAGGACACGCTACGAGTTGTTTTAAAACTGACACCGATTGCTGTGAATTTAAGGCAACGCGCGTTCACACTAAATCATAACTTTGTTATTTTGTAAATGTTTGCGTTTGAATTTTTACGCATCCAATGAGCTGCACAGCTCCTTGTTGTTACACACTCAGCCAGAGGAATTTCTCTGTGAAAAAATGATGTGGGGGAAAAATTCTGACATTTCTTCTTTTCTTTTTTTTTCGTGCAGGAGAGAAGCCCTTCCAGTGTGAGTTTGAAGGCTGCGACAGAAGGTTTGCAAACAGCAGCGACCGAAAAAAACACATGCACGTTCACACGTCGGACAAGCCTTACCTCTGCAAAATGTGCGACAAGTCCTACACACACCCCAGCTCTCTACGAAAACACATGAAGGTAAATATGCCAGGAAATGTGTGTGTGTGTGTGTTTGTGTGTGTGTGTGTGTGTGTGTGTGTGTGTGCCAGGCCTCCATAACGTATTATGGTGTATTTTAAATTAATATATATTGTGCATCATTCATTCTCATCTAAATTCTTTCCCTTAGTGCCTGATTGTAAACACTAATTTATCCTCCCCCCCCCCCCAGGTCCACGAAGCCTCCCCACCACCACCACCATCAGACTCCTCACCAGCAGCCAGCTCCGGCTACGAGTCCTCCACACCTCCAGGCCTGGTGTCTCCCACCGCCGAGACACACAGCAACACCAACCTGTCCCCAGCCTCGGTGGTGCACAACACCACCAGCCACAGTGGCCTATCCTCCAATTTCAGTGAATGGTATGTGTAGGACTGAGCTGAAACGAAGCGACACACAGTCACTTCACAGCACTGGACCATTCAGCAGGAGATTTGGGACACGTGCACGCGAGGGGCACACAAAACATTTTGTTTATTTTAATATTTTTTTTTCCACCAGGGAAGATGAGGATTATCAACAGAGGAAAATATGTATAATAGTCGAGGTGTATTTCATATTGTAAATAATTACTAAAAGCCCACTTTCCCCATCGGTTGTGATAGTTTGTCAGTCTTTGGTGTATAGATGTTCCTTCCATGGTAGCTATTTCTCTAACTGGACTTTTAGTGCACATATTACAATAAACAATTGTACTATAATGTTAAATATTGTGATCCTGAGGCAAATTGATTGTACTATACTAAACATCTATAAACTGGAACGAGTGCCAAAGTTAACATTTAACTCCAACAGACCACAATATTACGCTTGTGAATGTATATTTTTTAGTTTTGCTGGGCTTTAACTTGTGATGTTTTGTGCTTTGCAAGTTTGAATTGTGAAATACTATCTGGGGGATTGTGAGGAAAATAAACGTTGTGCCGTTCAATTTTCTGTAACTACACACCCTTCTTTTTGTAAATATCAACTGCCATATTTATCCATTTGTAATTAAATTATGGTATTTACTTGCTACAGATGAAACAGTATTTATAAAAGAATGTTTCTTTACTATAAATATGTACAATTGCGAGCTAAACATGGGCAGTTGTTTCGTTATGTGCTTTTGTTCAAAGTTTTAAGAGGTGTTTCCTTCCTTATTGTGATAAGAATTTTACTGCATACAAATATAATAAAAGGTGTTGCAAGTGCTAAATATTCCCTTTTGACTTTTTCCCCATTGCTTTCTGGTTTGCCTGCTGCTGGCGCGGCTCAGTGAGTTCCATGTTTGGGAGGCTTTTAGTTATAAAACTCTTCTTGATTCTTGTCCTGGTGTTAAAGGACATTATGGTGTCTTATACCTCAAGCTTTGCAAAGCATGCTTACAGGGCCGTAAACGACGTGGCTGTTGTGGTGCAAAAGAAAAACAACAGGAGATTTAGGGGGAATTTTAGTGAACTGTGTGCACGGTCACACACAAATTTTCTTTGTGTGTGACAAGGCAGAGCATTCTAACTAGTTTAAAAAGATGTGTAGCAGAGTTTAATTCAAGCAAAAGAAGCATCTTCATTCTGCCGTTAGAGGAAAAGCAGCTAAGCTACCTCTTCCCTGTATCGTATCTCTAAACTCACTTTATATTTTCTCAGGTCAGTTACTGAGTTTATTTGAAAACACAGCCTGTAAATGTGACCCCTCCCCCTATCACACACACACACCATAGACACTTCACTGCACAGGAGCTGCTGAACTTGAACTTGACTCGGCTTATGGGCCTGCAGTCTCTGCTGAGAGCTTCTTCGTGCTCTGGTTTGTAGCCTGTGTTTGTAGCCCCCCCCCCCCCGCAGTTCGTTCAGACCCTTCTAAATTTTGACTGCATTGTGGGGAAATATATAGATTGCTGAAGGAGAGCTGGTGTTGCTCACACAGATCTGAGGCTCTTTGTAGAAGGAATAGTGCGATCCGAGTGGGCCTATATTATGGTTAATATAGGAATTAAATAGGCTGAAGGAGAATAACAGTGTCAGCTGGCTGCTTGGTTGTTTTGGGTGATGCATGGCCTTATGTTGCTGTTGTATGATTTGTGCTTGGTTGACGTTCAGGAACACAGAAAACAGTGGGACTTTGGTGGATCACTGCTGCAGGCTGAATCTTGAAGCAAGTGGCACACTGTCTGTGTCATGGAGCTGCTATGACTGCAGGCTATAACGTTGTCTGCCATTACGGGCTGCTCAAAGACCGATGTGGCAAAAAAAGAGACTGGTAGGATCATCTGATTACAACCAGGCAGTGATATCAACACAAATCAATTAGAACCTATGCTTAAAACCTACGCTTTTGCTCTCTTTAAAAAAAACTTTCAATAGGTTTGTTGGGTTCCTACGTCACGTATTTACATCATCAGCCAATCAAAAGAGGGCAAACTTTTTTTTCCGGCAAAAGTATGCAAACTGAGATGAGCTTGTCTCAGGGAGAGATATTGGTTTATATGCAGCTTGTAAACAGCATCCTAACGACCCCGCTGACCTCTCCGGCGGAGGAAGGTGTGACCTGTGGGGAGTGGGAAAGGTCAGCTCCACACAGTGCGTCGATGCCGGTTCCTGTTCGGCTCCTGCTGCGCCGATATTGATCCGGGGAGAAGGAAGCTTTTTTCTTCTTCTCCTTCTCACAGCTCCTTGTGCATTAGGCTACTGTAAGGATACCGTCAGAGCACACGCACATACACACACACACACACACACCCTAACCTGCCTCTCACCGGGCCTGGAGCTCTTGTAGCCTCGGTGGGGTTTTTCAGGAGTCACGCATGGACTCAGGCCAAAGTTCAGGCGGAAAATCTTCGAGGTCACGTAATGAGTTCAGCGAGCAATTTGAACCGTTCTGCATGAGTGTGTTTAAAAGTGGCGTTGTTGCAGCACAGAGGATGAAGAGGAGGAGGAGGAGGAGGTGGGGTTAAAGGAGAGGATAACCTGCCTGGAACGTCTACGTTTTTATTCACCAAAACAATCTCTATTTGAGGGTAATGTTTTATTTATGGCATGATACTGTATGATAGATATTGAACAATTAAACTAGTTCAAGCCTCTTTTTCATTAGCACGATCCGAATAGCCAGTATCTCTCTTTAACATCACCCCCTTTATGACACGTTGATTTAATAAGAGAAAATGAGAAACAGCAGTTTTTGTATTTATTCTTATTTATTTTTTACATGGATTCATGACGTAGATTACCTGAATTAAATAATGCATTCGCAGTTTGTTATAGCATAGCGGGTGTGTTCGTTCAATGCAGCTTAGGACAATTATTTGAGAATGAAAAAAAGAATATACAGTATATATATATATATATTGTTTTTTTACAGAATTTATCTAGGCTAAGTCAGTGAAGATGAGTGCTGCGCCCCCGCTGGTGTGTGAATGTGTGTGTGTGTGTGTGTGTGTGTGTGTGTGTGTGTGTGTATGTGTGTTTGTGAGAGAGGAAGAGGTGCAGACTTATGAGGTGGACACATTTTTTTTATCCACACCAGTTGACAAAGGGGTCAGCGTGTCGATATTCGGGACAAACATTGACAAACATTAAGCTTTTTTTGTAGTTTTCACTAAACGAGCTCAAATAGTTCTTGTGTCAGCTGTGTTGCGGGTTTGAAGTTTGAGGAAGAGCGCGCGGCGATTGGAGGCCTCCGGGGACTGAAATGAAACCGGTCCCGTTTCGCGCGTCGTTTCAGGCTCTACTTGTTGGGCTGCAACACGCAGCACCTATCAGTCCATTCAGGTGACTGTGGATGTGAAGCTGCAGTTTTGATAACAATTGATGAATTCGCTTCCACTCCCTCTCTCACTCAAGCGCGCGCACACAAACGCACACTAATTGTGCATGGTTAACTTGTTTTTCTCGCCATGTTGGGTACATCACTCTTGTGTTTTTGCATAAATATTTCTCATTTAACGGTTGTAGGTATAATACTACAGTAGCAGCCTAACTTACCCCCATCATAGATAACTGCTCTGTCATTCATAATTCATCATCCTATGGAGGGCGTTATTCTTCCCCCCCCCCCTCATGTGTTTGTTAAAGGCAAATATTGTGTTTGTTTTTATGTTTTGTCGTAACACAGGTTTGACCTTTTTCTATGACTTGACTTGTGTGAAGCCATTTGAAGCACGCGGAGGTCGCAATGATAAGCAGCATTTAAGGACTAAAAAAGTGACTTACATGTCTTTAAAATAACAGACAGCTTTAATAATTACAAGGAAGTGTTGTAAAATAATAATAGAAAATGTCTGTAGGTATAATTACACAGTGTCAGAATTATCACAATGCAAATGAATGAATGAATGAAGAGATAAATAAACGGCCTGTCCTATAATTCTATCATAACTACAACGAACCAACAACGATATTTATATTATCATCATTACTTTCTTTTTACACAAATGCACACGTTTGTAAATGCCAAAATGAATTGTTCCCAAGTCAACAGCAAATTTTGCCACTTAAAAAAAAAAAATCAGATGCAATAAATAATGAAATAAATATTGCACATAAAAGTTACGCTGGTTCCCCCTGAACGCGCTTTGTCCTCGTTCACATGGAGGTAATCACACGTGGAGTATGCTCAGTGTTTCCAGACGATACGCTGTTCTTTTATTTTTATGAATGGCTGCGTCGTGGTGAAACCTGTCAATACCCACATTTAAATTAAGGAATACAAAAATAAAACCTGCCTTAAAATTCAAAAACATAAAATTCGTATCCTTTAAAACAAATTCGTTTCTCAATATGATACTTCCCAAATGGGCCTCCTCGGTAGAAACAACAGAGACGCTCATGAAGAGTTTGTCGGCCACTGTGTTTTGAGAGAGAACTTTTTAAAACAAACGCCATATACTCTAATTGAATTCGAAGTGCCCTAATGAAATGAATGTGTCCGTTCGCCGGCCTTTGTTATTCATAGTCACACAAGCAGCACCTCATACAGCGGGCCTGCTTGCCCTAAATATATTTTGATATGGACAATACATTTTACAAAATATAAAAAAAAAGAACTATTCAACAATATTGAATTCACATTACTTATAAATATCCGGCTAATTAAATAATACTAAAACATACAATAAAATGTTATATTGCGGCTGTTTTTTTACCTTGTAGTTTCTATAGAAACCTAAAATAAAATGTTGATTTTTATGGGCTGATATGAATTATAGTGGCTGGTTGCATGCATACTGTTAGTGACATGGGCCTTTGTAATAATATTTATCTCTGTGTGTCTCTAACTCTGCAGTTAATAGAGAGGTCAGTTCAGTAGACCAGTATGGTAGGCTATAGCTTATTACTAAGTGAATCATATATATAATTAAAATATCAACATATTAACTCCAGTTCAGTGTAATTCCATACTTTTCTTTCTTAAATGCATTGTTAGCTTCTGTTTATTGAGGAAAGTAATCTCTCTTTCTTCCTTTCTTTTTCTTATCTCTCTGTCTGGATCTCCTTCCCTCCCTCTGTCTGTCTGTCCGTCTGTCTGTGACATGGCCTGTTTTGTGTTTGTACTGAAGTCGATGTACAGTCTGCCTTCCTGTGCAAGCCCAGCCCCTGCGGCCTTTCATCTGAGTTCAGCGGCCGCCTTTTCTCACACAGATGAATGTGTTTTCTGTGAAAGAGCCGGAATGGCTGTCACTTCTCCTGGCACGGCGGAGAAACAAACAAAACCCCCTACTCCTTTAAGGAAGCTGGCGCAGGCGCCTCCCATCGGACACAAACACTACAGAGTCAGAAGCACAAATAGCCTCAAAAAGCTTAACACTCTCCCTTTCATGCAGAAAAGCTTGGCATGACTGGTTCTCTCATGCACACAGAGGAACACAAAGTGGAGCGGTGCAGAGTAAATGACATACTCCAGCTTGACTGAGGTGTGCTCATTGTTGTGGTCCCCCCCCCCTAAAAAAGTGTTAGAATTCAACTAATCCCTCACAAACTCAGCATCCTCCCCTGCTGTTGCTTTTGCAGCGAGGTTCTCAATATGGCTCCGACACAACACCTTGCCAACTCTCTGTATTCGCCACAATGGGTAATGTGCTGTTAATGCGAGACGTTTTTCAGGTAACTCTTTGCTGCTGCAGCCAAGGCTCTTCCACAGAAGGGAGCAGGTGTGACATCAAAGACCAATTATCTGGAAAGCCAAACACAAAACCAAGCAGGCCCACAGTGGCTAATA